TGGAGCCACTGCTGTAACCCCAGAAATCACAGCCTAGAAGAGAAGCCAGCTCCTTTCAAAAGTTAGGCTGTGGGCAGCCAGCGGGGAAGGCAGGACCAGTGAGCAAGCTGTGGATGTGCATCCCAGGTGGTCAGGGCAGCAACTCATGGCTGGTCATTTCAGGATCCATTGGGTCACTCATTTACTCAAGGCAACTTGCACTTCCGGAGCACCATACCTAACTGGGCAAAGTCTGTGTCCTCACCGCTGGGCACCACAGCCTCTGCACCACAGTTATCTCCCAGTCTGAACTTCATGAGATGCAGCAGCTGAGGATTTGAAGTGGGCCAGAGTCAATTCCATGCCTTGACACTTTTACATTCTGAGAAGGCAGCGTCCAGGAGCACACATGGAACCAGGAAGTCACTGGAGTGTCTGTCTTTAGGGAAAGGAGGAAGCCACCCCAAACTCCTACAGGATCCTAAAATCTGCTGTTGTCATAAAACAGACCCAAGGGTGGCTTCCATTTACAACTGAGGCTATAGAACCCCAGAGAGGAATGTCCAATCACAACAACAACATGGGCCTCAAGCTTGGGCTGGGCCCAAAGAAAGAGGGAATGAATTGGTGCCCACTTAAGCATGTGGCCTTTCTGAGCCAACAGGCTAGACCTGGAAGGAAAGAATCAGCTGACATGTCAGAACCTAACATCAGGGAATAACATTATTGGGACTTCTAAATTTGCTGGGCTACAACACCCCAAATCTTTGTTCTGTGCCAGGCTTGAATGTAGCATGAACAGTCTAGTCCAGGGTAACACAGAGGATGATGAATGAAATGACCTCACAGTAAGACATCTCCAGTTGGATTTACCCTTGTGCAGGTATACAGGGGAAAGCAAAAGGAAGAGACAGAGAGGCAAATGCCTCCTGATGTCTCCCAGACACACTGGGGGAGTGTTGTGGGTCATAAAACATTAATGTCTTTTCAATTGCAGTGTTTATGACAGCAAGAAATTGATATGTCCTCCTGTTTATGAATAGATAGAGCAGGTGACTATAGAGCATGGGAGGGAAGGCTAAGTGGATTGTTAGTTAAAATACACTCACGGGATTTTTCTGGGGAAATGCCAGGGAATCTCAGACACCAACTCGCTTCTCCCTTACTTAATCTGTATTCTTCCCTGTTAATGTTTATGGGACTCCTGGTGTGTGCCTAGGTCTGAACTTGGCCCAGAGGTTCAGATCCCAGACCCTCCGCTTATCTTTGACCTTCAGCAGCTTTTTAGCATCTTTAAGCACCTGTCATAAAGCTCAACTTGCCCAGACTGTAAAAACACAAGAGTCACACACCCATGCCCAGCACAGAGCCTGGCAGACAGAGCCCTTAGCTCAAGCGGTCTTCTCCCTGCCCCAGCCTTTCTTCTGCCCAGCTTGAAGAACTTAGTCAGTCTAGAAATGTCTAAAGGACGTGGTCAGTGTGAGTCAAGGGTTACCAGTCAACATTTAAAAAAAAAATCAATAAAAGAAGGAAAATCATGCAATAGCCAGAATGTTCTGACCTGCAAGAATCAAGGACAGGAGGGTGAGAGGGAGAAGGAACAGTTATATTGCCAGAGTTAATATATGCTAGGGGTCCTGGACAACCCACTGTCCCACTCTGATGTACAATGTTTTTGGTTTTGATTTCTGATTCTCATTTCTGGCCAAACCTTGCAAGTTTGAATAAGTATTTGATTATTCAAATTAAGGTCTACATTTGATGCAGACCTTAATGAAGACCTTTAGAGGTTGTGGTACTAACAGGCCATGGCTCCTCATCTCTAAGTAGTTAAAATGTTTTCATGTAAACAAGAGTATCCCTCTCCTAGATTTCTGAGTTGCAAAACTCTGGCTGAAGTCATTGAATCTGAACTTTGTCCGATCGCCTGCTCCTCTCTGCCTCTGTCTTCCCTAAGCCTGGGAATTTGTGTGGTTTGCATATTGCATAATCCAGCAGAAATACAGGCACTTCCCTGGATAGAGCAGCGAGGGAAGCAGACAGACCAGTCCCTTCACTACAGACAGAAAAATGTCACAAGGAATACAACCAAATCCTACTTCTCAGTGCATGCTTTGAGAATGCACGGAAGGAGAAAGTACCATTCTTCAGATGTGCCCTGGGCCATATGCCCATTGGGGTTTGGATTCTAATGCAGCACCCCTCAAGAGCAGCCATTGCCTTGGTATCCCAGAGTCACCCAAAAGTGATGGGGGAGCTAGGCCTGGAGGACAGGAAGATGTTGTATTGGCTTGGAGCTGCCAGTAAACACCTGAAAAGTTCATATTAGGACAGCTCAGATCCTGAACCTTTCCCCAGACAAGCTGCTGCCCCCTTCTCAGCCCGTTTTCATTGCTGCACCTATTGCAGGAATCTCCTTCCATGATTGTCATCATTAAGAGAGGCAGCAATGGAAAGGTGGGTATCCTGAGGACAGTCCCAGCTCATGTTCTTCCACCCAGAGTGGGGTAATTTTCAACACCTTCCAGCAGGGGTGTTGGTATCTGGCTCAACCTGCAGATACCTAATGGCATTCTGGGCCACTAAAACCCATGCACATCCACCTGTATATGAAAATAAAACGTGTGCCCAAGTAAGAGAACCCCATCTGAGCCATCAGAAACTTGTGTGCATATCCCAGGTACCTGCTCAGAACTGTGAGATCCTTAGTTAGTCAATGAGAAATGCTCCAAACTCTTTCCTAGGTGTCCTCTCAGCCTAAGATAGCAGGATGCACGAGACGAGAACTGGTCCACAAAGTATATCAAGCAGTAGTTTCGAGCCTGGATTCGGGGGTCACCTGACCGGAGTTAACATACCGCACCTTACCTCAAAAGCTTTGCGAAGCTGATGGGCACACTTGCTGCATAAATAAGCAGTGACTGGATTGACATCAGTGCATTCTTAAATCTCCTGACTCATGCACTGTGGCTGCCTCTTACAGCTGGGAATGCGGGGCTTAAAGAGGAATAAACAGTGGGTGACAAGACACAGATGACAAATGGGACTTTGGATGTCAGGATAAGGTAGAACTATGAAAACAGTGAGATGGCTCAGTGGATAAAGGCGCTGGCCACCAAACCTGACAACCTGAGATCAAGCTTTGGGACCCACATGGTGAAAAGAGAGAGAAGACTCCCAAGAGTTGTCCTCTGACCTCTATACATGCTGTGACATGAGCACCCCCACCCACACACACATAGATATAGATAAAATAGGTATATTTCAAAGTAATTTTTAAAAGTGATAGAACTGTATCATGAAGGTCTGGAGGATCCACTGAAGGTGAGCAGAGCCATTTGTAAGCAGAATAGAATCTTAATACAGTGATGCTTTAGAGGGATGCTCTAGAGACCACCTAGAAAATAGATCAGAGAAAGGAAGAAACCTGAGGCATGGTCTGTCAGGAAGCCATGGGGGGACCCTGGAGAGCCATGTGCTAGGCCTGGACACATTGGTGTACATGTCCTGCGATGGAGCCCATTTCCTAGCACTTACACAGACCATTTCCTCATTCACACACATATTACACGTGCAGATTTTAAGATGCTAGAAAAGACCAAATATCCATGATAATAAGAAAATCACCTGTTAGTGGGGACTGTATAGTTAGAAGAGCCAAAGCAGAGAACCAGGTTGAGTTGACATCTGAGAGAAAGATTTGTGAAAGCATGAGAACGTGTCAAAAGTTGATGCTATTAATTATAGTAAGCTGAGGGCTTGCTCTGGCTCCCGAGCAGTGTGCTCAGGCATGTGAGCGGTGGTTCCAGCATCTTCCATGTGTTCTTTGCATTGACTTGGGCATTTTCTGATTTGATTCTCAACTCATCCCTGCAAGTCACTTAGGTTTGGGGGAGGGATGGTGTTATCCCCAGTTTGCGAATATGGGCCACTACAGTCAGAGCAGAAAGTGTCCGTCACAAAATCATATTATCAGCAAATAATGCAGGTGTGTCTGGTACCAAGGCAGTTGTTTTCTCTTGTCACTGGGAATCTAAAATGGTGCAGAAACTAGGATTGTGATGATAAAAAAAAAAGTCTTCATGTTTGGGATGGAAACAAGGAAGAATTGATGATGCTGATGGGAAGGAAGGTGTAACTATGATTCCTTTTTCCATGTTTTAAAACTTGGAGAGACAGATACTGCATGATTTCTCTTGTACATGGGTGCTACTTTATACATAATCATTTAGATAGAGATACGGATATAGATAATATAGTTATAAAGATTGATGGCATGAAATTGGAAGTGAAATCTTGATTATCTGGGAAAGAAGACTAGCTAGAATGGGGAGACAGAACAGGACATGGGAGGGTATATATGATCAAGTACTTAATATACTTGAATGAAAATATTTTTATTTGTAATATTTTATTTATTATTTTTATTTTATGTGTATGAGTGTATTGCCTGCATGTACGTAAATGCACTTGTGTAGTGCAGTGCCCACAAAGGTCAGAAGAGTTCGTTGGATCCCCTGAAACTGGATTTACATATGGTCATGGGTGCTCGGAATCGAACCCAGGTCCTCTGCAAGAGCAGTCACTGCTCTTAACTGTTGAGCCATCTCTCCAGCCTGGCAAATGTCTTTATAATCCCCACTGTGATTGACAATGAGTATATGCCAGCAAAAAAGAGCAGTTCCCATTTTCAAATTATAGTGGGAAAATAAAGTATCATTGTTTAAATAATAGAAGCAATGACAGGATGCTGAAGTCTCCTGGAATACAACAGGAAAAGCCCCAGAAATGAACTTTTAAGCTGAGAGACAAGAATAAGAGAGAGAAAGGCTATTGGGAGTTGATGGAAGACAGAGGAGCGCTGAGGTGCAAGATTCTCACCAACCAAAGTATTTCCATGTAGTTTCCCTCCTGGCAGAGGATGAAGGCTGGGAAGCACAGCTGCGCCTTGGGCAGGTGTGTGGATGTTGGGGTCAGAAGGGCCACAAGTGGACTGAACTGTATCATTTTTTTCTCCACAGACAGCACAAGAATGGAAGTCTGAAGCCCCAAGTCTGCCAGTTTGTAAGTGTTCATCTTTGATGCCTTTTCTTGTGGGGAATTGTAACATTTCTGAGAGCTCTGCTGGGCAGGTATCTGGAGATGGGTCTTTAATTGCCAGTGCTAAGCCAATGAATGCAGACCTAGAGAAGCGGTGAACCCTCATCCTCATCACTAAGAAGGCATAATGGCACTCTAACCTTGTGTGTGATCCGTAGCCTGAATCCAAACCCCCGCACAGGGATGTGCTAGGCAATGTAGCCTTTAGACAGATCATTTCAGCTGTCTCTGTGCCCATGTATTCACCCAAAAAGTAGTTATAATAATACCTTTATGACAAGATTAGTATAAATTATGTTAGTCAATTCCCATTAAGGAAAGAGAACCACCCCCAACATCTCAAAAGTACACAGTGGATTTTTGCTGTTCATCATCATCTCTATCCCTATATTTAGAGCACATTACAGCCACAGTGAAAGTCTAAGGTCTTCTCAAAGACTAATGGGAAAAAAAGGACAGCAATGGAAAAGGACCAGTCAGGGTCACAGAGCTACAAAGTAGATCCCACTTACGGTTCACCCTATTCCTCAGTGGCTCTGACAAAGGAACCATAAAGAAAGTGAAAGTTCAACTAGCTCTCACGGAGAAGCCTGAGGGAAAAAGCAGTGAATGGTGCTTTAGTAGACTGGGAGCCAGGAATCACGTGAACACACTATCCAAGGTAGGGATTGTTGTGCCCATCTTAGAGATAAGAAAACAGAGTCCAGGCTGGGCAATTTTCCTGCCGATGTCCTTTGCACTCAGGATTCTTACTCCTGGGTCTCCTATGTCCCTAGGAGTGATTCCTCCAGATCCAAAGCCCACAGACATGAAATAGAACCATAGTAAACGAGACTGATGCTCCTCTCCCATCCCAGGTGCCATGAAACTTCCAAGGTGCTCTCTTCTCTTCCTTTGACTCAGAAAGCATATCTCTCCTTTCATTACAGACACACCTCCCAGAGCCAAGCCAAGGGCACACCTGACTGGTAAGACCCCCTGTATTTTCTTGGAGACTGTGAGATTTTTCTCTTAGGGACCTGCGATTTCTCTCAGTACATTTACTAAAACTCACATTAGTGATTTCAGGCTGGCAACAGACCTGTCAATCATGAATTTTAGGTATCTTCCTCTCTATGGAGGATCCAAAGGCCCATGTCTCTCAGGAGGTCTTTCGACTTTAGTCAACCTCTGCCATCCTCCTGCCTCTCTCCTCCATGCGCACACCTGGCCTTCCTCAGTTTTGTACTCTCAAGTAATTCTGGATCTGGTCACAGATGAAAGATCCCTGGGTTGCCTATTCATCCTGTCCACCTAACCTTGTTCAAAATGTCCCTGAACTTCTGTATTAAGGAAGATGTTTCCAGAGAGTGCCTATGGATGTGAAAAGACTAAGAGGAAGCTCACAGTGTCACCATCTGACCAGTTTCCCAAGTCTAGTGTGGGGATTCAGGAAACTCAGACACGGAATTCATAGACCTATGAGATTCCAGAGAACAGACAATATGGTGCAGAAATGTGTCAAAGGCCATTGAGCAACTAGACAGTTAAAAAGCAAGTGTGCAGCACACACAGAGCAAAGTGCACGTGCTACATGTTCGGGACCAAGGCTTCAGTGAGAGCTGCCGGAAACACCTCAGATTCACTGTGCATTTGATTTTGAGGTAGTCCTTGGTGACTGCACATTCAGACACATTTTGCTGTCTCCTGGTTTGTAGTGACTCCTCATTCAGTTATGTGTTCTCATTTGGAGTCGTGAGATAGAGTTTAAGAAGATGGAATCTAGACTAATACCTCATATTTATTCTTTAACTCATACATGTCTAATATATAGTATATATGAACTAAAACATGTAAAATAAAATACCCATACATTTAACATATTCTATTTTAATTTAGACTTAAAGTTCTCTTTACCTTGATTGTCTACTTGTCTGAAATCGTTGATCAGATATTTGTTGTTGATGGAGAAGCTTTTCATTGACTTCTTTGTATTCTTTAACAGACACTTCTGTTGTTTTTCTGACATTCTGAATCATAATGTTTTGTTGCTGTAAGGATATAATGCGTTCTTGTAATAAAATAGTACTGTTGCTTGATTTCTGGGCAGGAAAAAAAAAAAAAAAAACAAGTGTGCTCTCCTGACCTATAACAAAATTCACCATGTGCAGGGGAACAGCCCATGACCCAAGGCATTTGTATAACTATTTGACTAAGGGACTTATTTGTCCTGAGTCCTGAGTGAGGGCTGAGACTTTACACGGGACTCAGTGAGAGCCACCCCTCTTCCTGTGAATAAGAGCTTCTCAGAGCCTCCCAGTAGCCAGGCACTGTATTTTACTTCCACTATTTCATTTAATCTGCATGTGAGTCTAATGAAATAAGAGTTGTTCCCATTGACATATGGGCGGGCTGAGGCTGTAGCTCAGTAGTAGAGTGTTTGCCTAGTATGCCTTATACCTGAGGACAATCCCCAGTATTGCAGAGAGAGAAGGGAAGGGAAGAACGGAAAGGAAGGGAAGGGAAGAAGGGGAAAGGGAAAGGAAAGGGGAAAGATTGCTATGAAGGGGCTAGGGAGGTCATTCACTAAGTAAAAGGCTTATTGTACAAACATGAGAACCCGAGTTCAGATCCCCAATGACCACATAAAAAGCTGGCTTTGTGGTATGCACTGTAACCCCAGCCTTGGGGAACAAAGACAAGCAGATCCCACTGACGGGCCAGGGGCTCACTAGCCAGCCAGCCTAGCTGCAACAGCAAACTCTAAGTTCAGTGAGAGCTTCTCTCCAAAACTAGAATAGAGAGTGATAGAGGAAGATTTCTGACCTCCGCAGGCACACACACACAGGCGAACGCACCCAAACACAAGCATGCACATGCATGCATACAGAACACATATGAAGAAACATATGGGAAAACTCACATAGCTAATTTGCATGCCCCAAGTCGGATGAGTAGGAAGTGAAAGAATTCAAAGTCAAGCTTGCTTTTCCAGATTGCAGTTTGCACTGCAACTTCCTATCAAACTCCTACTTGCTGCTGAGTTAACACAGCTCACTGCACTCCTGTGCAATAGAACTTGCCCTGTCAGCAGACATAATGGGTTTAGTTTATACATCATCTGAGAAGAAATGCTTCTAGTTACTGAATTACTCGCAGTGAAGGAAGAGAGGTCACCAGAAGTGACCACTGAAAGGTCTTTATATGGAGTTTGTGCAGAAGTTCCAGAGCTTTCCAGAGGCAACTTAATTTAGAGACTAGAGGAATCCACATCCATTTAGGATCTGGGTCATGATTGCAAAAGTCAGCAATGGGAAGGACACTTTAGAAGATCCAGAAACTGGTTTCTAGGCTCCCACTGGATATACAGGTTGCTAAATGGTTCCTTTAAATATAACCAAACTGTAATGTCATCACATAATTGTGATTTCTGTGGGTTTCAAAAGCAGTTATAAGAAATGTAAATGTTTTTATTTTCCCTGAAAAGTGCTATGTTTACTGATGATTATCTTATTTGAAGTCAGTGGTTTGAATCAAGTTTGGTTCTATTCATTTTCTTTAACTGTAGATATATTTCATAAAAGCATCCATTAATGTGTTCTATATAATGTAGACTTATGAGTAATGCAAACATAAGAACAAATAAAACATAAAATGAAATAGACTTACTCTTTAGTCTGTCCAGATGAAACATGCTGATTTATTTGAGGAGGAAAAAACAATTAGCACAATCAGATCCCACTGCTGTGATTTTTTTTTAAAGTTCATGTTTAAGCCAGGCATGGTGGTGCACGACTTTAATCCCAGCACTTGGAATGCAGATGCAGGCAGATCTCTGTAAGTTCAAGGCCAGCCTGGTCTACATAGTGAATTCCAGGACAGCTGAGGCTACAGGGAGATTCTGTCTCAAAAAGACCAAAAAAAAAAAAAAAGTTTGTGTTTATTCTATTCACTTAATCTTCAGAAAAAGGCTCTCAATGAGCTGTATCCCCAGTTTCTAGACAAGATACTGAGGTGCACAGGAGAAAACAAACCAACACGGTTCATTAATGAGCTTGCATGTTGCAGAATCAGAGTTGGTACTGGGCCCAAGTGGCCCAATGCCCAGGTCCCTTCCATTCCACAAGTCTATTTGCTTTGACTTATATTTTGGCCCTGTCACTGTGAGAAGAATTGCTAAAATGTTCTGGGTCTCTGGTTCCAACATGTCCTCAAGGTAATTCTTTATTGATTACTGCCTGTTTCCTGTGACTTTGGACCATAGCATTGAGACACAGTGACAGTCTCTCTCTCTCTCTCTCTCTCTCTCTCTCTCTCTCTCTCTCTCGCCCCCAGGACACTAAGGATAAGGACATACAAGTCTCCCTCTCTCTCCCCCTCCCTCTCCCTCTGTCTGGAACACAGCTTGTCTGAAACAAGAGAGCTAGTAAAAGTGAATATAATTTATAAGACATTCCTAATAGCTAGGTATTTCCCATATACCACATCCTCCACTCCTTTCCATGAGAATTATTAATCTCCTTTTTTTAAAGTAATGGCATGACAAATAAAAACAAATATATTAAACAAAATGAGGCAGTATGCAAAAATAATATTACAGAGAAACGGGGAGTTGACTATAGCCATGAACTTTGTATTGGTGGTAATTGCTTCCAGGACCTCCTGCAGACACCCAGATCTGCAGATGCGCAAGTCCCTTCTATAAAATGCAGCATTTGCTTATAAAATGACAAAACCCACATACATCCTCCCCTGAGCATTTTAAATTTCTCTAGATGACTTTTAATATGTAATATAATATAAGCAGTTATATTGTTTAGGGAATCATGAAAAGGAAAAGACTTGTACATTCTCGGTGGATACATTTTTTTCCCAGTATTTTCTGTCCTGAATTGGTTGAATCAGCAGGTGCAGAACCATGGGTAAGGAAGAGTGCTGGCATTGTGATGGGGGAGGAAACTATGGCACTTGGGAGCAGCCTCAGACAGTAAAGCCTGCCAGCTTCTCCGTTAGGCTAAACGCATGGTTTGTTCATTTGTTCATTTGTTTTTTGTTTGTTTTCATATATAGAAACTAAGAACAATTAGAATGAACCAGGTGTGGGGAAGTGGGATGAGTGCTTGCCAGGACTCAGAGAATGCTTTAGCCCAAAGCCAGGCTTGTCTTCCAGGAGGCTTGATGTTAGTCAGGCCGAGGATGGTCAAAGCTGGGACCTGGGAGAAGGAGAGAAGCTAAGGCAATCTGCATGTGTTCTTCCAGGTGGCCAGGGCGGGTAAAAGGGTTTGGCTTATCATTCCTGAGGTCAGGAATGAGGATTGGGAGGGCCTGGTATCTGGCCTTGTCCTACACAAAGGCTTATCTAGGTTATCTGAGGAAGAGAGGTCTTTGAAGAAAGCTGTTTTCAGGTACACAGAGGAGTGGGGGGATTTCTTAGTCCTCACTATGGCAGTGCAGAATAGCAGTTCTGAAATAAGAAAATCATTTATTGTGACTACAGCCCGAAAACACAAACCCCAGTCATCAGGAATGCCATAGTCCCTTCTGTGAAGGAAGTTACATAAGCTCTGAGGGTCACCAAAGAAATTAAGTGGGGTACATAGAGGTAGGGAATCCGTTCTACAGACTAGATGTTATCTTTAACACCTTCAACATGGTGAGCAATCTTACAGATTCAGATACTACAACATTCTTAGTGTTAGCACTGGTAATGGCCATAGGTCTGACAAGCTTAGGATACCTTCCAAGAGTTTACCTGGTAGTCATAGAAACACCAGGGCAGATACAGAGACAGCAACAGCTACTAAAAGGGAGTGAAGAACACGTACATACACATACATGCGAAAAGGAGGAAGAGAAAGGAAAATGACGTAAGGCTTTATCAAAGACCGCAGATCCTGAGTCAGTTAAACCTCTCTCCTGTCTTTCAGTTCTGAAACAAACTCCTACACCACACCCGCAAAATCAGTTCCCGGCCCTTCAGTGGGAGCATGAACTAGGCTTGGCCTTCACCAAGGACCAGATGAACTACACCAACAAATTCCTGGTGATCCCAGAGTCAGGAGAATACTTCATTTACTCCCAGATCACGTTCCGAGGGACCACATCTGAGTGTGGAGACATCAGCCAAAGGAGACGACCTAACAAACCAGACTCCATCATCGTGGTCATCACCAAGGTAGCAGACAGCTACCCCGAGCCTGCCCAGCTCCTCACCGGGACCAAGTCTGTGTGCGAAATAAGCAGCAACTGGTTCCAGCCCCTCTACCTCGGAGCCATGTTCTCCTTGGAGAAAGGGGACAAGCTAATGGTGAATGTCAGTGACATCTCCTTGGTGGATTACACGAAGGAGGATAAAACCTTCTTTGGAGCCTTCTTGGTATAGGAACAGAGCAGCACATAAGGCCCCTCTGCCTCCGACTTCCCAATTTTCTTTGCTCATAAGGAACTATAGATGAGGTTTTCTTAGGGTCAGAGTAAGGGACACAGGGTTTAGCCATGTAATTTAGGAACCCAAAATTCACCCTCTATGTACTTTATGGATTGGCATATTAATTGGAAAAAATCTTAAGAGCATAAGTGAGTGATCATAGTTGCTAGAAAAGTGTCCGGGTTTAAAAACATTGAACTGATCCTCCAATCGAATCATCTATTCAGGTCAAAATTTAAAGAATATTCTATGCCCTGTTTCCTGCATGCCTGTCATGAGTAGCCTAGTTATGGCTGAATTTGATTGCAAATTTACTTCAGTTCAAAAGCTAAGGACAAAATCCAAACAGAGTTCAAGAAAACACTGTAATCCCTCTAGAAGCAAAATCTGTTGTCTGCACTTTCACAGTTTCATGCCTAGCTTTATAAAAATGTAAAGAAAAGAGAGCTGGTATTTCTTATGAATATTCCTAAAAACAGAATTAGTTTTTGTGCCACCCAGCAGAGGGAAAAGGACTACCTTTCCTCTGATTGAGCACACAAGTATCCAGATAAGCAAGTGTGAATCCCGCTTGAACATGGAACATAGAACAACAGCACCTTTGCCTCTATCAGAACATGGTTCTTGGGTACCTGTTATGTTCAAGACACCATGAAGAACACATCAGCATCTACCCAAAACAAATGAATCTTCACTGGATGCTTCCTGATCAATTTTCAATCAATACACGCCAAAGAATAATTTCAAGTCAGGCCAGTGAGATGACTCAGCAGATAAAGGCTGGAACCCACATGGTGGAAAGAGAGAACTGACACCCAAAAGTTGTCTTCTGACCTCCACACCCTGCCATGGCCTACACACATAAATAAATAAGCAAACAAATCAATAAATGTACAACACTTTTTGAAAGAAGAATGACTTCAAGTCCTAAAAAAGAGATCATCTGAGTTATCTCCGGCACTGTCCTGTGGAAGCTAGCCACACTTGAAGATACTCAGTAAACTGGACTAAATGCCCAAAAATTGGATTTGTGCCAAGAGTCAATGGATTTATTCTCCAGGGAAGAAAAGAAAAAGTCAGTCCTCATATCTGGAGTTTGTCCAAGTCTGCGTTGAGGTTAGATTTGCAAATGTTATGTGGGTATTTTTGACTTAAAATATTCAAAGGGATTTAAATAGGAGATTAACTAATCAGCCTAGCCAAGGCCTCTTCCCTGAGGAGATAGATGCTGGGATCCCCCTGCATCTCCGTGGGTTCATGTCTTTGGCGTGAATTTCCTTCACTAACAAGGGTGGGAAGGGTAGCCATGTTTGTTTAGCTGCTGTTGCTGGTCTGTAAATCTGAAATTCATTTGTTTCCCAGTATCTAAAAAAGCATGTTAACTTCCTGTATTCTATGTAACCTGGGTACATCTTGCAATATTAGATTTGTTAGATTAAGGATGCTTCAACAGTGATGCTTGGTTCCATGATCAAAACTAATATCCCACTAGGAAAATAAAACTTAGGTGTGAAACAGCCAGATAGCTCCAGCACCTGGTTTTTATTGGAAATTACTTACATCATGGCAGAGGTCATAGATGAGTCTGACAGCAAACTTGGTACCAAATCACTCCTAAGTAGTTGCTGGAAAACCAAAGAGCTGTGAGATGTAGCCCCTAAATAGAGGCTGGCAGAGTGATAGTAACTGATAATATTTTTAATAATAATTTGATAGAAACTTCATTTCTGGTGTCTCAGAAACCAGTCTGAAGGTTAAGATCATACGTGTACTGTCTAGTCTCTGTTGGGTTGACCTCCATTGGCCTCTTTCTAGCCTTTAGCTTTTCAAAACAACACGGGTCTCAGTGAGAGCACAGGTAATGGGGGTCTCCTCCACCTGGCTCCTCATAGGGGAAGTCACGCCTGAAAGATGCTGGGTAGTCTCCAGATGACTGGGAAGAAAGGACATCTCAGAAGGAGGAATTATACTTTACTTAAGGCAAAAAGGAAGAGTTTCTCCTTAATTCCAAAATGAACTTGGTAAAAGACTGCTTCCTCTACCAACTCCAAGAGCTGTATTTATTGGTAGATCAAGGGTACTTTGTCAATGACGCCAGTCTGGCTCCATACATAATCAAATGTGGCATTTTATTAGGAGAACAAGATGTTCAGCCTGCAGCTGTCTCTACGGTGCAGGAGAGCATCAAGAAACAGGCTTATGGGAAAGGATTTGTAAAACAGAGGCCAGAGTGACCCACTCTCATCCTCCATTAAACTCAAGCTTTGGGTCAAGGGCCTTCAAACCAGCCCATGGGAGATTTGGCAGGCTTGGAAGTTTATGCAAGACAGGAGTTTCTGGCATCCTAGAAACCTGAGGCTTTGGAAAGATCCCTACCATATACTGATTTTGCTTCTGTCATAAGCTTGTTTATTGAAGAATGGAACTCAAGTTTTCACTGTTGATTTTGTTAAATTCTTAACATTCCTAATGGGACTCAATTCAGAACTGTTTCCAAGGTTTTATCTCATAGCAAGCATTAGTGCTGTTTGTTAAAGGAAGGTGGAAGAATGCTTTTTAAGAATATGTGATAGGGTCAGGCACGGTGGCACACATCTATAATCCCAGCACTTAGGAGGCTGATGCAGGAGGATTGTCATAAACTTGAGGCCAGACTGTGCTACATAGTGAATTTCAAGCAAGCCTGGACTACATAGGAAGACCTTGTCAAAAAATGTGGGAGGGGAAAGAAACACATGATGGTCTCTTAAAGGCAAGGGGATATATTCAAGGATTTGGGGGAGAATGCACATGCTTTTAGAAAATAGTTTATTTAGAGGGAATGCTTTACTTGTTAAATTTCTCAAAAGGCTGCTAAACCAAAATCAATTCCACAAACATTTGCTTAACACTTAGTTGAGCTGGGGACACAGAGATAAATTAGTTTAGTCTCAGTTCCACTCATTCTAACAGATGGATTCTAACAGATTGGCATCTCCACTGTCTGTAGAGCTTTTCATTTATTTTGTTTGTATTCGCTAATTAATTAGCTAACTTTAGTCACACTGATATTTTCTTATTACAAGAATGAGTGCCATTTGATAAAGGATGATCATTAACAAAATGATTTGTATTTCCTCTTAAGTATTTTTTAATAGCTACTCAGGACAAGTTCCCATAAATAAATGAGAGGGGAAAGTCAGGATATAATTTCCTATGGTTAGAATCCAGTACTGAAGCAACACACAAACAAAGGCTATTATTTACTGCCCTCGAATTTGGTCAACAACACTCTTGAAAATATTAGAACTTTATGAGTGGCCTGGAGATGTTTTGAAAAGTCTGTGTTTTCAACAAAACCAAAAGCCATGATTAGCGTGCATTGGTCACTAGCATTTTGAACTCAACTTTCCTTAGACCTCTTTCACAGAACACACTTGCTGGGTCATGATCTCTGAGGTGGTGGTGGTGGTGGTGGTGGTGTTGATGATGATGATGTTTTGCTAGTTTACAACAGGAAAAGTGAAACGTGCACTTTACTTCTTCGTCTCCTGGAACAAGTCAGGTTCAGCTCAACCACAGGGCATACCAGAATCCTCATCCCCATTTCAGTGTAAGCCACATCACCACAAAGGAAATTCTAATTCTATGCCTGTCAGTGACTCCTCTAGATTATAAAATTCCACCAGCTCTCTATACAGAGGACATGGCCATAGCCAGTATTCTCTTGTAAGGAATCTTCTCAAGTCTTTACTCAATCAGGTTTTCATGATTGTGACATTAGGGATTAATTTTTAGGACAAGTTTGTCTATATTCTGTACCTGGCAAAATACATACAGATGTATCTGGCCTCAAAATACCCTGCATTTTTAAGGCCAAGAATCCTGGAAGTATTTTGACATTTTCAGTAAAATTTTATTTAAGTTTATATTATTATCCTGAATATTAACAGTATTATATCTATTGGCAACTAACCTTTGGAGAATTAGGTGAAGTAAGACCTTCACCACTACATCTATGCCTTGCCACACTCCAACTATCATATTTAAGGTTTCTCTTAACATTCACCCCCATCTCTTCTATTCCCCCATTTTAAGGAGATTCACCAGTCCAAACTGAGGTCACTCATCCAGACCCACACAATTACTGGAATATCCAGAGCTTGGATTCTGTTTTTCTGAATCATAAGCATAGGCTCATCCAAGTCCTCTGACCCTGGGAAAATGGCATTCATTTGATGCAACTAAAGTAGAAATTGAAGATAGGAGATGTATCTTCAAACACCTATGGGGTAGCGTAGAAGAGCAAGGAGACTCTTTGCACCTGATGGTCACATCTCTGGTTTCATACCTAAGTGAACTTTCTGCCTCCAAATGTATTTTTTTTCCTGGTAGTGATGTCTCATTCCCTGAAGAGGGTCAAGCAAAAGGCAAGTTGTTAAGGAGCCATTACCTTGTGAAAGTCAAGGGAGGGATTAAATCATGGAATTTCTGAGATCTTGTCCAAATCTATGACCCTGTGGCCACCCTTTGGTGAACTTCTATTTGATCATGACAAACCTGGCAGGCCTGTCAAGAGTTCAGTGGGTAGTCCCTACCCTAGAATTTCTGCCCCTTTCCCCTTCTCCAGACAGTGTCCAGTGAAAAGTTACTCTGAGGTCTTGGCCAGTAGAGAAAATGCCATGGAATATTAGAGCTGACATGATGCGCAGAGTTTACTATCCCAAGTAAACTTTAGGTAACACTTTAAGAATGAAGAAACCCAGACTCAGGGAGGCAGAATAAGTGGCTCCATGCCAGGCAGTAGCCAGTCGGCGTGTTGAGACTAGACTAGCATTCCTATCCCCTGACACCAAGCTCAGCAGCTTTTCAAGTTCATCTGTGAATCACTGTTTTTGAGCCTCTGTCACATGACAGCATTTACCCAGATGCTGGAGGTCCAAGAGGATCTGTGAGAGACAAGTCTTGCTCTTGTGGTGAGTGCACACAGGAGGAAGGAGACTCAGAATGATGTGTAATTTGAGGAGTAAACTCACATGATTTTATTCGTAAGGTCATTAAAACATAACACTTTCCCCTCTTTTGTCTCAGAGGGCATATAAACTGAACAAATGTAGGTGTTTACCTGATTTTAGTGATAAGCCCCATGTGCTTTCATTGGTTTTATGTTTTACGTTAAAACGTCATACCACCATGGTAAAATGCATATTGTATGTTGTTGGATATGTAATTAACTGGTATGCATCCCATGTATGAATTCTAATCTTTGTAAATGAAAAGTTATATGTTATTATATTTAATGGTTATAATTTAATAAACTCATATTGAAGGCTGTAGAATTTTGATTATGTCAATTCGTCTGTCAGTCAACCCGGTTCATTTATTTTCCTGGGTTAGTATCCAAGGGCAACCTCTGGGATTTAAAAAAAAAAAAATGTATCTTGAGAGCTGGAGACATGGCTCAGGAGTTAAAGTGCTTTAGCACAAGCGAGAGGATTGGAGGTTGGATCCCAAGAAGCTATATAAATGCCTGGTCATGGGGGAACTATAATCCCAGCCTTGGAAGGCCCCTACAGCAAACTGACTGGCAACATTAGCCGTATGGTGAGCTCTGGGTTCAAAGAGAGACCCTGCTTCAATGAATAAGGTAGAGGAGCAACTGAAGGAGAGTCCCAACATAACCATGAGCCTTCATATGTATGTGCACATGCCTGCACACGCACCTGCACACGTGTCCCCACACATGGGACTATGCATACACACATGCACATACTACATACATATACATATGAAAAAATGTGCTGGCTGTCCATATGCTCAGCAACTGATTTCGATGGTTATGATAATTTAATGGTGAAACACAGACAGACCATGCCGAAGTGGTAAATGAGAATCAGGAATCAGTGAATGAGGATATTGCAGCTAAGTGACTCCATCACATAGTGACTATCTGTGAAAAGGAGTAAGAGAGGCTAGAGCACTGGATGGAGCCAGGACACTGTCTGATTATAGACCTGTGCTTCTCATACAAAAGCAACCATGTGGCTGGGCAGATATCTCAGTGGGTCAGAGTACTTGCAGCACAAGCATGAGGACTTGAGTTCAGCACCTACATAAAAAGCCAGGCATGGCCACAGACACTTGTAATCCCAGTGATAGAGGGTCAAGGAGACAGAGGGATCACAGGGACTTGCAGACTGCCAACCTAGCTGTAAACAGTGAGTTCCAGGTTCAGGTTCAGTAAGAAACCCTTTCTCAAGGGGAAAAGGTGGAGAGAAATAAAGGCTGACATCAGATGTCCTCCTCTGGCCTACAGGCACACACACACATGCACATACATGTGCACGCCCCCCCACACACACACACAAAATGGTCAGAAGAAATCAAAATAGGCTGAGTATGGTGGGATGTCCTCCTCTGGCCTACAGGCACACACACACATGCACATACATGTACACGCCACACACACACACACACACACACACACACACACAAAATGGTCAGAAGAAATCAAAATAGGCTGAGTATGGTGGTATACGCCTGTAATCCCAGCACTCAGGAGCCTAACACAAGAGGAACATGAATTCAAGGCCAGCCTGGCTCCAAGGGCATTCTGTTAAAAAAATAATAATAATAATCAAAAGGGTTCAACACATCCTTTTCTTTCTCCATCTTGATCAATAGCCCAGTTCCCTTCTGGTACCCCATTAATATGAACCATATTAAATTACCACTTCTGAGGGTTAAAATAATCACATATCAGAAATTTTGTCTCCACCTCTACAGTAGGTAAAATCAGACAGGAAGGCAGAGGGAATAAAGCTTTTCTCCAAAGCATCTGCTCACAATGTCCTTGCTGGGGAGCCTAGGAATGGATGGCTGTCTTTCCAAAATTCAGTGCTCATGCTCCAGTGTACCTATCCCGGAGACTGACAGAGAACATTTTGTTCTCACAACAAGAAATGAGTCATTGGACCTAAAGTATTAAAAGCTGAATATCTATAAAAAAAATCATTAAGTCAGTTTTCCAAGTGAAAAAAAAAGTCTAATATATGTCACCAAAAACAAGTTTTTCAGTCAGTTCTCAAAAGGACTCTCCATCCCTAAGAACTCTGGAACAAAGGGGCAAAGCATTCACCTTATCTCTCCTGCTGTTGGTTCAGTTACCTACAGTACTTACAGAGGACACTCGGGGTCCATTTGGAGTCAGTCAGGGCTCACAGAGGCAGTGTCGGCTCTGATTTGGCAGATGTAATTCCAGTTGACTGATGTTCATACCACAGTAGCTGTTAGCTATTTTGACCATAGTCCTTGTTTACCTGGCTTCTACCCCCGCTCCCACATGTACCGTGACACTAACCATCAACACTAATGTTCCAAGATGACATCAAAGTGCAGTGGGTCCGGAGACAAAAGAAGGTGTTCTAAGCCTCTATCAGTTTGCAGATTGTGAGGCTATGAGTCAATACTTCTGCAATTTTCAGTTTCCTCCTTCGATTAGGAACACGGCTCAATGGTTCCATGCCTGCAGGACTGGAGTTTCAAATGAGCTTCCCTTTATCAGGTATGTGGAGGGAGAGAAGAGGGTTTCTCCACAGAAAGCAAAACTTCACACGGGGACTTTTCACTTCTGCAGCGCAGGAAACAGAAAGGTAACTGGAACTGAGACGTGAATTCCAGAGCTCACCCATACTGTTCCATATTAACACCACTCTTCATTCCCCTTCTGCCCACCTGGCCCCTCTGACCTTCAGTTGGGCTTATGGCCCACTCTCCATCCCACATTAGCGAGAGACTGATGTCCTGGCAGGCTAATACTGACCTTAGCACCAATATTTACAGCTGGCGTGTCTCATGTTCTGAGTTTCTATCAGGCACTGAGCTTACCTCTTCCCATAACTCCCTTTATTTCAGTCACAACAGAGAACAGACATGAGTCCTGAGAGATTAAGTCCACTGGCCAAAAGTAACTCTACTGAGCCAGATTCTAATCCAGAAAGAAGTGCCCACCTCTCAGAGCTCACGGTTGGTGATCAGTAGCAATAGGTAACTAACATTTGGGGTACTTACTAGTACTGAGCACATTATATGCATCATCTCATTTAATCCTCAGTCAGAGCAGAGCATCATGGTTTGTCTCAACTTCAGTAACCACACCCCAAGGCTGGCAACCTCAGGAATAAGCCACGATGTTGTCAAATGGGTGACTAGGTCTTCCATTCAAAGCATTGTTTGGCCACTGTTACTAAAGTAGGGATCCCACCCATGGGTGTCCTCCCTCCCTGAATGTCAAGTCCCCATTGCTAGTAACTAATAGAAGTAGCCACACCATCACCCTCCTGTTAGCCCAACCTTGCCCAAGCTGGGGAGCTCAACTCTGGTCACACCGTGTCCTCAGACCAGTTCCAGCTATCAGCCAAAGAGTGATATAGGGCTCTCCTCTACTGGCTTCCAGATCCCCTGAAATGTCACCTTCCCCCCACAGCGGTCCCTGATGCCTTCCTTCCTTCCTGGTCTCTATTCTCTACTCTGCCTCAGTCAATGCCAGAAAGACTGGAGCATGCACTCTGTGGTAAGCACTGCTCTACACATTTTGCAAACCCTTCATCTTCACATGAGAACCTGAAGACCAGGCGTTCCTCTGCACATGGGGAAAGTGAAGGGCACTAAAGCCCAGTGATTTTCACAAAGCCAGAACAGTCTCCATAAACCTGGACCTGCCAATCAGTGTGGTTCCGGCCTCTCTCTCACTATCTAGCTCTGCTTCTCAGTTGTAGTTCATCTCTGTGCCATAATATTTTATAAATATTTTATTATTTTTATTTATATATATAATATATATATATATGAGTATTTTACCTATATGTATGTAATTGCATCATGTGAGCACAATGCCCACAGAGGCCAAAAGAAGGTATCAGATCCCCTGGAACTGAAGTCACAGATGGTTGTTAGCTACCATGTGGTGCTGGGAACTGAACCCAGTTCCTCAGCCAGTGCTCTTACCTGCCGAGTCATCTCTCCAGCTTCTCTGCGTCTAAATCATTGTGTCGTGCTGAGCAATAGTCTAACTCCTCTGGTCCTCAGAGAGAATTTCTAAGTTCACTTCTAGCTCTAAAATTCCAGCATTCTGGCTTATCTTTGCCAGAACTGTCATCATTCCTGTGTTATAGACTAGTCAGTTCATACTTTTACAAAGGACATTGTACCCAGAGCCTCTCCTCTCCAGGCTGGCATTGCTCCTAGGGACCATGAAACACTACCTCCAAAGCCTTCTCCACAAGCCCTGCCTATTAGCCACCCCCAAGGAAAGACGCCTAACCGGCTGTGTGTTCATCTCATTGCTTTCAGAGCAGCGGTTCTCAATTTGGGTTGCACACTGGTGAAAGCAGGGGGTAGGGATGAATCGAAACTTGTCCAATGCTGCGCTTGCTTCAGCAGTACATATACTAAAATTAAAATGATACGGAGATTAGCATGGCCCCTGTGCAAAGATGACATGCAAATTCATGGAACGTTCCATATTTTTAGTAAGTGTCTGTGAAATGCCCAGACACATCTACATGGGAACATCTACCCTTAAGACTCATGGAACAAGGAGTAGAGAGAGTTCTGTTGCATCTCTTGACTCTCACCAACGAAGCTTCCTCACGTAGCAGAGGAGCAACAACTGACCAAAATGAAGAGTAAGAGGCTGTAGAGTCCACGTCCCCGGATAGGACTATTACATTAAACTTCACCCACCCAGGGCTCAGGGGCCACTCCAGAAGAGGGGATAGAAAAATTATAAGAGTCAGGAGTGGCGGATGACCACAAGGAAACAGAGTTTTCCAGGCTTCTGAGAACTTGCTCATATGAACTTACAGCAATGGCGTCAGCATGCACAAGACCCATGCAAACTCAATCAGCCAAATCCAGCACAGAGCTGGAGAAATGGGTAGGAGGCCCTGACCTTAGGTGAGGAAATATTAGCAACCGATCACTGCTGAGTGAGAGAGAGTTGTCTCCTTTGGGGAGTGACACAAGATTGACTGGCCAGGCTCTAGTGGATGAACTCACACCAAGGGACATCTGGGTACACAAACTTGACTCGATAGGCCTTAGCATGTATGACAGAATGCATGAGGTCTGGTAGGGAGGCTATGGGGGCTGTAATATAGAGGAGGAGAGCTAAATATGATTAAGATATATTTATGAAATGCACAAAGACTCAATAAAAATATATATTTAAAAAGAAAAGTCCGCCCACATCATGTCCCAAATCAGTCAAATCAGAATCTTCGAAGATGGAACCCAGGGAAGAATACTTTCAGAACTCCCAGGTAATTCATCCAAGCTCAATTTTCAAAGCACTGACAACTGAGGGAAAGATCAGGGTCCTGAAGGAAGACAGATTTGTGTTACATTCTCAGCTCTGCCAAGTTCTGGCTCTGATGCTTCAAACAACTAAGTTAGTCTGTCTGAGCCTTGCTTTCTCCATCTGTAAAACAGTAAAATTCGAGTGTATGTCTCATGATGCCCTTGAGAAGGCAAAACAAGACAGTACCCAGGAAAGTGCCTGGGGATAATCCTGCCAAGGTCCCTGGTCCATGCTCACTAAGGAGCAGCTGTCACTCTCTCCCAAAATGACCTCACAATTCTGTACCATTTTCTTTTCTTCTATATTTACAAAAGCAACACCAAACTGTGGACATTATGAAATCATAATGCCATAAATGTCCACAGTGAGCAATGATTTGTGAACTTGGCTAGCCATTCATTCAACTGATATTTCATAAGTACTCTCAAGGTATCAGGCTCCGCCAAGGTGCCAAGGCTATTGGACTCACCGAATGTTTGCACTATTGAGCTTGAAGTGAAGAAGCACAATAAAGGAATTACTAAATAATCGCTAAGTGGTTATGATTAAATGATTTAAAGGAAACAAAAAGTCTTTGAGAATAGAAAACAAAGAAAGGGGCCTTTAGCATATGAATGGCTCACGGGTAGTCTCCCAAGGCCTTGCTGCACACTGCTTTGTTTAGGTAACATTTGGACTTGTGACTTCACAGCACAATCATCAGCTGATAGTAGGTATGATTCACTCAGTGGGTACTGCAAATTTCCGGACCCTCAGGGGTCAAAGACTGAGGAGCCAATGTACTGGCCAGCTGCCAGCTGTCCCTGAGCCAAAGGAAACGAGTCATGCCTTGAACTCTGCTAACATGGCTGATGGTAGCCATCCTATCAACCCTTAGTGCTCCACATTCTCAGATGGGAAAAGTCTCTCTGGCAGTTGCTACAAGGAGACCCAGGATCCCTGTCATTACAGTCTGTTCTTCTTCAAGAAGGACATCCAATTAGATTTTACTTTCCTGTGTGCCAGGATGTTGTCCTGTTTTGTTTTGTTTTTTTACCTTGCACAAGGAAACATGATCTAGCATCATAAGGAAAATTAGCAGGGTATGTCCCTCTTCCCAGGAGCTTTATCAGGGAGGAGAATAAGGTCTGGACAAAAATGTCCATTTTATGAAAAACTGAAGTCAGGGTCAGAAAGGAATCTGAAGGAGTCCTATGGATAGAGGCTGAGCAAGTTGGAACTGCCATGACACTCTCTCCAAGCCCTTTGATACCTCCCCAAGGGGACATGGTCCATGCACTAAACGATCAGAAAAAAATCTCTGTGGAATGCACACACTAAGAATAAATCCCTAGAAGTGTTTGCAGATCTGATGCAGGCAGGAGCAGGGGACTCTGGGATTTGACCTTCTCTTGGGTCTCACACCTCATCTCTTGAGATTCTTCTCCTTCCTATATGCTTATGATTCACAAGTTTGTTTTTTTAATGGTGTCACACAATTCTTGCATATTCCATTTTTGTGTTTTCTTAAATTTTTCATAATCTTTGCTTGAGTGGTCTAATTCGTCCACTTTATCTTCCAGTCTTGATACTCTGTTTTCCATTTCGTTCATCCTATTGGTGAGGCTTTCTCCTGTTGTTTCTAATTGGCTTACTGAGTGTCTCACTTCCTTCTTCATTTCAGCCTGAGTATTCTTCAATATTTCTAACTCCTTTCTGAGTTCATTCAGTTCATTCAGAAGTTTATCTCTATCTTCCTTAAGTTCTTTGCTTTCTTTGTGTGTTCTTTAAATTCACTGAATTCTTTTATCATGTTTATAATTGTTCTTTTGAGTTCCATGTCCTGTGTTATCTCTAGGGGGTTTTCATTGTACTCCTCCAGAGGACTATTGGTACTTGATGGGGATATATCATTTTGGTTTTGCATGTTGTTATTTTTTTCCTCTGTGACTTTGACATGTGAATTTCTTTTGTAGTTTCTGATTCTTGTGTGAGACTCAAGCCTTCCTTTGTTGAGTTTAGGTCTGCTTCTTTCTGTAAACTTCATGTGCCTTTGTGGTTTACTTGATGGGCATGAAAAGCTGGTTGGTCTAGGCTTCAGGTTCTCTCTTTTGATTTTATATTGGAGTGGCCTAATTGCTTTTGTCTTCAGGAGTTCCCACAGAGGCCCAAGTCAGATGAGGCTCAGATGCTCTCAGGCTCTCTCCTAAGGTCTCGGTCCCTCCAGGAAAGATACTACCCTCAGGAATTTGGGGACTGGGCTGGCCTGGAAGTAGGGCCCAGGAAAGATGCTGGTCTCAGGAAGCTGGTGGCTGTGCCACCCAGGGAAGTAAAGGGAGGTGAGGGTGGGACCAGGCCCCCTCAGAGGGTTCCTGGGGACCTCAGGGAGGAACTGGGTTGGTCCAGATGCAGGAAGCAGTGGTGGCTCTGGGCCAAGAGGTTAGCCCCCATGTCTGGGGTGCCAAGACAAGAAATGGGCATGTACCCAAGCTAGGAGGAGAGGCACAGAGGGGGAGCTGGAAGGGTGAAAGAGGCTGGGGGAGTCAAGGCAGTGGGTGTGCTGGACTTACTGAGGGAAGGTGCTGAGGGAAGCTGGAGGCTGACACCTCATCTCTTTATTCAGAGGTTCATGTGCTTCAGAGATGTTTCCCTCACTCACAAAGTGTCCCAAGACACAGCCTGGCATCATCTTAGACTGGTCACCTCCACCCCCACATTTAATCACTCACTAAGACTGAGTCCTGAGTGTCAGTCCTTCCTGTCTTTTTTACTACAGTAGCTCCTCACTGTGCAGCGCCCCCTACCCACAACCTTGAATGAAGACCAGCACAACCTCTCCACCATACCACACAGCCAAAGTGGTTCCTCTGCTATAGAGAACAGAGAAAAACAAATCATAGCGTTCTTGAGGTAATCAGTTCTCTGTGGCTGTAGTAATATACCTGGGAGAAATCCACTTCAAGGAAAGAAAAGATTTATTTTGGCTCATAGTTTCAGAGGTTTGAGGGCATGACCATTTGTCCCCATCACTGTGAGTTCTGAGGCAGAACATCATAGCAATTAAAACTGTGTGGCAGAGAATCCTGCTCACCTCACAACAGCCAGGAAGCAGGGAAAGAGGGTGTGGAGATACACACAATTGACCCTTCAAAGGCATATCCCTAGGGGCTTACTTCCTCCAAATAAGTCCCCCCTCTTAATAGTTCAGCTATGAACTGATCAAATTGGTTAACCCATTCATGAGATTACTGCCCCCATGATCCAATTACTTCTTAATAATACCACCAATAGGAACCAAAATTTCTTCACATGAGCCTATTGGATCATTTTATAATCAAACTAAAATAGCTCTCCTAACTGGAAAAGCTATAGAAAGCTTTGTTTTAGTTACTTTTTTATTGCATCTGTGAAGAAATTTTGGACAGAAGCAGCTCCAAGAAAGGACAGGTTTATGCTGGCTCATGGTTTCAAGGGATGTTCATCATTGTAGTGAAGGTACGGCAGCAAGAGTGGCTCAAGTGTTGTGAGGAGGCTGGTTGCATCATGTCTGCCTACCAGAAAGGAAAGCACTCAGGCCAGAACCAGATATGGGCATCACCTTCAAAGCCCACCCTCAGTGACCCACTTCTACTAGCAAGGGCACAGTCTCAAAGATTTCAAAACAGTACCACCAGGGGACCAAGTGTTCAAAACACATGAGCCTCTGGGGGACATTCTATATTCAAACCCAAACATGCTTCTGATCACCTTCAGGGAGACTGTAAGCTCCTGAACTTGGCAACCAAAGCCCCCTTCTTCATTCAGCCAATCTCTCAGCTTCATCTAATGCCTCCTTCTGTCCTTTATTAGATGGAATGGTATGCTGATAAATGCTGAGGTACCAGCTCTTGAACACAAAGCCTTTATTTGTTCCATTTGCCAATGCCCATGGTGTAAATATTCCCACCATGCCCAGTTTTGAGAAACTAGTATGTTGTCACTGAACAGAAGGCTGGGAGGAGATGCACCAGGCTGGACCATGAAATAGGATTTGTTCCACACAGACACAATAGAAGTAAATGGAGTCAAAAGAGAGATGACAGTAAAATGTAATGATAACTAAGAAGTGACAAGTTTTAAATACTTATGATCTTTGTTTTAATATTATTTATTGAACTATAAGTTCATATAATTTGATTTTTAGTCATAGC